AAACGTTGTGAAACACGTAAAAAAATGTTCTTGAAGAATTTTAATGCGTTTTATTTATCCTATTTCTCGAAAAACAAGTGTAACATTTCTATCACCTGCAGGTGGACAACCTGCTCTCTGAACGCCGCCGTCAACATATATTTGTAAATCTTTAACAACACCTGACTAAAGCATTTGCCTGGGAAAGGATGCCACTGTGTTCCGAACTGAGCGACGATGTCGCTCCACTTCGAGGGTGAAATTCGAATTGCTTGTGGAATTTGGATCAATTCTCTCGGGTATGCTGTTCCAGCAGCTTTTGGGTAGGGAGGAGCTGGCACTTGGTGGTGGGAGATACTGGCACTTGGTGCTGGGAGATACTGGCACTTGGTGCTGGGAGATACTGGCACTTGGTGCTGGGAGATACTGGCACTTGGTGCTGGGAGATACTGGCACTTGGTGGTGGGAGATACTGGCACTTGGAGCTGGGAGATACTGGCACTTGGTGCTGGGAGATACTGGCACTTGGTGCTGGAGATACTGGCACTGGTGCTGGGAGATACTGGCACTGGTGCTGGGAGATACTGGCACTTGGTGGTGGGAGATACTGGCACTTGGTGCTGGGAGATACTGGCACTTGGTGCTGGGAGATACTGGCACTTGGTGCTGGGAGATACTGGCACTTGGTGCTGGGAGATACTGGCACTTGGTGCTGGGAGATACTGGCACTTGGAGCTGGGAGATACTGGCACTTGGTGGTGGGAGATACTGGCACTTGGTGGTGGGAGATACTGGCACTTGGTGCTGGGAGATACTGGCACTTGGTGGTGGGAGATACTGGCACTTGGTGCTGGGAGATACTGGCACTTGGTGCTGGGAGAAATGTTTCGAACCTCACGAGCAAATCCATTGTTCTTCTGTGAGTAGCTTATGGTTCTCAAATTGTGTTGAACGACACGTGACGGGACCCTGCCCGTCACGCCAGGGACCCTGCCCGTCACGCCAGGGACCCTGCCCGTCACGCCAGGGACCCTGCCCGTCACGCCAGGGACCCTGCCCGTCACGCCAGGGACCCTGCCCGTCACGCCAGGGACCCTGCCCGTCACGCCAGGGACCCTGCCCGTCACGCCAGGGACCCTGCCCGTCACGCCAGGGACCCTGCCCGTCACGCCAGGGACCCTGCCCGTCACGCCAGGGACCCTGCCCGTCACGCCAGGGACCCTGCCCGTCACGCCAGGGACCCTGCCCGTCACGCCAGGGACCCTGCCCGTCACGCCAGGGACCCTGCCCGTCACGCCAGGGACCCTGCCCGTCACGCCAGGGACCCTGCCCGTCACGCCAGGGACCCTGCCCGTCACGCCAGGGACCCTGCCCGTCACGCCAGGGACCCTGCCCGTCACGCCAGGGACCCTGCCCGTCACGCCAGGGACCCTGCCCGTCACGCCAGGGACCCTGCCCGTCACGCCAGGGACCCTACCCGTCACGCCAGGGACCCTACCCGCCACGCCAGGGACCCTGCCCGTCACATCAGGGACCCTACCCGTCTCACTAGGGACCCTGCCCGTTTTGACCCTAAGCCTATTATAGCACATATATGTACTATATTAGGCTTATGATACCCTGTATTAATCCTATGATTGCTGGGAGAGGTCAGGTTAGGTCTTATATTGAAGTTGCCATTTAAAAAAAAAGAATTCTAGTTTCTGCAAATTCAGTAATACCAGTTAACATTTCCGCGGTCCATCACTACATTTTGGTACTTTCGACCTAATGGTGGCTATGGGTACTCTCGTTTTAAAAGGCTAGGCTGACTAGTTTTAATTAAAAGGCTAGGCTGACTAGTTTTAATTAAAAGGCTAGGCTGACTAGTTTTAAAAGGCTAGTTTGTATACATCTCGTTGTGTTTGCGAGGGTTCAGCTTCAGCATGCTGGTTCAACCTCTAAACCAGTGTTCAGATTCCCGAGTCATTTCATTTCGCCACATATCTGTATTTGAAGCTGTATGTGGAGACTGCTTCAATCACTTCACTTCGCATTGTACTGCATTTTTTCAGTACGTTGATAATGAGCAAACGATCAATTACTCTTTGTAAGGCTTCTTTTCCGTGAAATTTGTTCATGTGTCATTCATGTCTCCTCTTACTTTTATTTGTTTTTCATCGTCAATTGGTGTGAGGTTTAATTGTTTTTCTTTCCACATAAATCATACGTTTCAGCTCATAAAGTCTCGCTGAAGTCGCGTCCTTCACTGTGATTCTCTGGCTTCTGTTACACAGGTACTCCTGTATCATATGGAGACTTAATCTTACCCCCTTTGTTTGGTCGTGGAATTCTATAAAGTTTACGAGGCAAGACTTGCTGTGACTAAAGCTATGCTGGTGCTCTGGTAGGAATTATCTTTCTCAGGTTGATCCTACTGGTCTCCTGCCTGCCACCATATCTCAGTGTTTGTATATTGGCAGTGTATTGGTGTTTTTCCAACGTTCTGATAGCTCTCTTTCTTTCATGAAATGTTATATATGTATATAACATGGAGCAGCCAGGAAAAGATCTTCAGCTCTCCCTCTCAGAAATCATCGCCGAGTTCTCGTTGGTTCTATAACTTAGTCCAGCTCAGTCCAGCTTCTGAAGGTGCCTCCAGACTTACTCTCTGGTATTCTTAAAGTCCTCCAGTACTGCTTGGTCTGACATCTTCCTATTCCCTTCCTCACTTCCAAGGTAATGAGTCCTTTATTCCGTGAATCCTCACCTGTTTATTACTGTTGTTGTTCATCCTGTATTACTGCGTAGTTATTTTTGCTGTGTTTTACATCTCTTTTTTTTCTACTGTTGCGTTTTCAAACTGCCTCTCTGCTTTTCTTCTCTGTCTGAGGTACTCACATGTTTCCCTTTGGCTGTACTCGCCTAGTTGGGCTTGCGAGGGTTAAGCTTTGGCTCTTTGGTCCTGCCTCTCAACAGTCGTGCTGTTCTGGTGTTCCCGTACGTTCTCTCTGTCTTGCAACCTTGCACATTTGATTAATCAAAAGGTTAAGCCTATATCTTTCATTAACTTCAATTAGAAACGGAACCCACTTGTCGATTGCTTCTCTACATTTATGTGAAAGTTCAACATGTGTCTTTATTCTGAGCTTTGCCAGTATTTTCCAACGAGAAAGGATCTTTTTCCCCACAATTTTCCATTCGGTATGCCAGTCGTGTGTGTGTGTGTGTGTGTGTGTGTGTGTGTGTGTGTGTGTGTGCTCACCTAGCTGTGCTTGCGGGGGTTGAGCTCTGGCTCTTTGGTCCCGCCTCTCAACTGTCAATCAACAGGTGTACAGGTTCCTGAGCCTATTGGGTTCTATCATATCTACACTTGAAACTGTGTATGGAGTCAGCCTCCACCACATCACTTCCTAATGCATTCCATTTGTCAACCACTCTGACACTTAAAGTTCTTTCTAATATCTCTGTGGCTCATTTGGGCACTCAGTTTCCACCTGTGTCCCCTAGTGCGTGTGCCCCTTGTGTTAGATAGCCTGTCTTTATCTACCCTATCAATTCCTTTGAAAATCTTATATGTGGTGATCATGTCCCTCCTAACTCGTCTGTCTTCCAGCGACGTGAGGTTTAATTCCCGTAGTCTCTCCTCGTAGCTCATATCTCTCAGCTCGGGTACTAGTCTGGTGGCAAACCTTTTAACCTTTTTCCAGTTTAGTCTTATGCTTGACTAGATATGGACTTCATGCTGGAGCCGCATATTCCAGGATTGGTCTGACATAGGTGGTATACAAAATTCCGAATGATTCCTTACACAAGTTTCTAAATGCCGTTCTTTTGTTGGCCAACCTGGCATATGCCGCTGATGTTATCCTATTGATATGAGCTTCAGGGGACAGGTCTGGCGTGATATCAACCCCCAGGTGTGTGTGTGGTGTGTATGTGTATGTGTATGTGTATGTGTATGTGTATGTGTGTGTGTGTGTGTGTGTGTGTGTGTGTGTGTGTGTGTATGTGTGTGAGTGTGTGTGTGTGTTTTACTGTGTTTACTATTTGTTTACTATTTACAGACACTGAGATGGACGGACACACAATGAAATAATCACAATGAGAGAGAGAGACAGACAATTAGGCACAAATGGGGGACAACTTCCTATAAGCTTCCAACTTCAACTAGGTAGGACTAAGCACGTCCCGGTTTCACATACAGATATGAAAACAGCCCCAGTACCCTCGGGAACCTGTAGACCAGTTGAGTGAAAGTTGATGAACTAATTGTGTTCACCACAATTCGGTGAACAAACGGCACGTATAAAAAAACCGTCCCTTCAGCACCCCCCAGACTCCCGTCTGAGTCTTGCGTGACTTGGTGGCTGACCTCCTGGTCCCCAGCAAGGTTACCTTAGCAAGGAGCGGGCGGGGTGCGGGCGGGGTGTGGGCGGGATGTCTCGTCACACGACGTCACATTAGTACAACTGTTATATCCTTTTTCCTCTCCCTCTCTCTCTCTCTCTCTCTCTCTCTCTCTCTCTAATCACTTTGCAAAATCTTGTAAATTCTTGAAAAAAATTGAAAGAAGCAATTCCAAGCAAACTGGAAGGACTAAATAAAAACAAATTGCATGAATTATTTTCAATTGTTATTTATTACAAATACGTCTTGTAGGGCACTTTTTTGTCTCCTCAACTGTGGCTCTGGGAAGGTTCATAGTCTCCGTCATAGTTCTTGGAATATACGTCCATTAAAGTGTCCCAAACTGAGAGTTGCGAGTCAAGACTTGGGCTGTTGGGGGGTGACGCCACTAACTTTACCCGCATGCTGTTGTGTAGTTGATGAACTGATCTCCTCAACTGTTGGTATTGCTCGGTACCTCGTCCTCCGTGTGATCTGTGTGCAAGGCAGTGGCCAACGGGAGGAGGAGCTGGTCAACGGGAGAAGGAGCTGGTCAACGGGAGGAGGAGCTGGTCAACGGGAGGAGGAGCTGGTCAACGGGAGGAGGAGCTGGTCAACGGGAGGAGGAGCTGGTCAACGGGAGGAGGAGCTGGTCAACGGGAGAAGGAGCTGGTCAACGGGAGAGGGAGGTGGAGAACAGGAAGAGCGAAGATGTGGTTGGCTTTACTGATGTGGTCTGCCTGGGAAGGTCTATTGCCCGGGTGACTGAGGTCCCCGGCGTTGCCCGGGTGACTGAGGTCCCCGGCGTTGCCCGGGTGACTGAGGTCCCCGGCGTTGCCCGGGTGACTGAGGTCCCCGGCGTTGCCCGGGTGACTGAGGTCCCCGGCGTTGCCCGGGTGACTGAGGTCCCCGGCGTTGCACGGGTGACTGAGGTCCCCGGCGTTGCCCGGGTGACTGAGGTCCCCGGCGTTGCCCGGGTGACTGAGGTCCCCGGCGTTGCCCGGGTGACTGAGGTCCCCGGCGGTGCCCGGGTGACTGAGGTCCCCGGCGTTGCCCGGGTGACTGAGGTCCCCGGCGTTGCCCGGGTGACTGAGGTCCCCGGCGTTGCCCGGGTGACTGAGGTCCCCGGCGTTGCCCGGGTGACGACCCTCGTATTCACCATACACACACTCCTCATCACATGCGCTGCTCATCCCATACACAACTGTGTATTCATCCTTATATTCCTCCTCCTCCTATCCCCTCACCCCCTTCTCATATACACCCCCCCCCTAACCTCCCTATCAGTCCACCCCCTCCTCCCCCCTCTCACACCCATCTTAACCCCCTGCTTGCTGTATACTCACCTCGCTTACTCACCCACACCCGCCTCACGGTTCTCCTCCATCAAGCACCCATATACCACTGACTCACGCTTTTTTTCCCTCGGCACTGCCCCCGCCCCCTCCCTCTTTATCTCATGCAGCCCCCCCTCCCTCTTTATCTCATGCAGCCCCCCTCCCTCTTTATCTCATGCAGCCCCCCTCCCTCTTTATTTCACTCAGCCCCCCCCCCTTCCATTCTTACCTCGCTGAACCCGTCTCCCTCCTTACCTCACTCAGGCCCCTCCTTTTACCTCACTCAGCCCCCTTCCCTCTTTACCTCACTCAGCCCCTCCCTCTTTACCTCACTCAGCCCCCCTCCCTCTTTACCTCACTCAGCCCCCTCCCTCTTTACCTCACTCAGCCCCCCTCCCTCTTTACCTCACTCAGCCCCTTCCCTCTTTACCTCACTCAGCCCCCCTCCCTCTTACCTCACTCAGCCCCCTCCCTCTTTACCTCACTCAGCCTCCCTCCCTCTTTACCTCACTCAGCCCCCCTCCCTCTTTACCTCACTCAGCCCCCCCCTCTTTACCTCACTCAGCCTCCCTCCCTCTTTACCTCACTCAGCCTCCCTCCCTCTTTACCTCACTCAGCCCCCCTCCCTCTTTACCTCACTCAGCCCCCCTCCCTCTTTACCTCACTCAGCCCCCCTCCCTCTCCCTTACAACTCTTCGCCCTCTTCCATAAATTTCCGACAAGTTGGGGTTAGAAATTTGTATTTCATCCATGAAATTTTGAGAGGGTAAACACGGAAGTTTTAAATGCCTTCCGCAACATGAAATTGTAAAAGGTTGAGGTGGTTGGTTGGTGGGGCGGGGGGAAGGGATTGTTCTGGTAGGGGAAAAAGGTGGGGCGAGCTGGGGGAGAGGCGAACGGGCGGGGAGAGCCCGAAGAGGGGAATTAATAGAGTAGTGTAGTGGATGTTCGGAGAGAACAGTGGACCACTGAGCTGTACAACATTGTGGGAGCGGTAACCTGCCCTCCTATAACCTGTCCTCCTACAATCTGTCCTCCTATAACCTGTCCTCCTACAATCTGTCCTCTGCAACCTGTCCTCCTACAATCTGTCCTCTTGCAACCTGTCTTCCTTCAATTTGTCGTCATACAACATGTCCTCCAACAATCTTTCCTCTTGCAACTTGTCCTCCTGCAACCTGTCCTCCTGCAACCTGTCCTCCTGCAACCTGTCCTCTAACAAAGAACGGAGCATTTCTCACGTATGGGCTACCCAAGGCCAAAAATTGTCGTACTAGAAAATGGAAGCGGCTCGCGAAAGTGACATACTGTCCCGTTTTCTGTTTTGGGACCTCTGGTAGGTTAGGAGAGGATAATTTAAATTGACCGTTTTCTTGACGTTGGGAGACAATAGGAGGCCGGGCTGAGAGGAGAGTGCTGCTCCAAACCTGTAATCCAGAAGGCATAGCGCCAGGAGCTCCTGCGACTGGTGTGTACACGATGCGGACCCCTGCATGCCGAAGATGTCCGTGTTTTGTACTGCTTTCCTCTTGCAGTTGAGTTAAGTTAATTTATTTTGCATCTGATATCAGTGCTGTGAGTGGTGTGTGTGTGTATATATATATTATATATATATATATATATATATATATATATTATATATATATATATATTTATATATATATATATATATATATATATATATCCCATAGCCTCGGAGGAAACCATGCATAACGCATTAGAGGGAATGTTTAGATCCCCTCCAATACAGTTTCTGTGTGCTTTTCTCCTACCACCCCCTTCCTTTTATATTTTTTGTGCTTTATTATGTATTTGAAGGTTACAAGATATACATGGGTTGATACAAAAATAATAATACAAAAAGGTGCTTTAAGGTTATGAATCTCTTGAAAAACACGACAATGGGAAACATTGACTTTTTCCTCTCTGGTCTTATGTAGCGCTGATCAATTTGTCCCCCAATTCCTTCAGGAACTTCAATGCACATTTTCCCCACGAACCGAGAGTTTCCGAGCCGATCAGAACAAAGCTGTAACAGTGTGCCAAACCTCTGTATTTAATCATTTTCTGCGATTCCCTGAAAGAAGCAGAACCACTGCTTTCACGTGTGCTGTAGTGGAGGTAGGTACTGGCCAGTGTGGCAGCGCACGTGTATTCCCACACCACTTGCTTACCATTCTTCTAAGGTAGCAAGGTGACCCTATCTGCGCACTTCTGAGGGTCGTTAGGTCTGGATAAGTGTGGGTCTCTTTGTGCCGGGCAGCGGGCTGTGGCGAGGCTCCTCTTGATGATGTCGTTAACTTCTTCATGTCTTGCAATTTTACCCTGTGATTTACGACATACCAGACCATGACGACCATATTGGTCTGCCATCGCAGTTCCGCAGATGCACCTATGTTCGGTGAGGATGGGGGCGGCAAGGCGAAGGGCAACTCCAATGTGGAGAGCGTCATGACTGAGGCGAGTTCTCAGGGCTGCATTGGGCACAGCAAATAAAAAATCCCCGGCGTGGGGTGCTGTTACCGATAGGAGGCGGGCTTTGTTTTCAGCATCAGCGTTGTCAGTCATTGCTGTGACAGTCTTTTCCATTATGGGGCTATCCCAGTGGGCCTGCTTGTGGTCTTTTGGGACTTGTGGTCGGGGTTGAGGGTGTGCAATGGTGTCCCATTGTCTGGCTGCTTCGATGAACGTTTGATCATGAGTTCCCGCTGTCTCTCTCATACACTCTGGTAGGATCTGCCCTACCAATTTGTTGGCTGCTGTACATGAGGATAAGAATGCTGGAAGTGCTACCTCAGTTGCCTTTCGTATGCCTTTCCCCCCAAATCTCACTGGGAGTGTTGCTTGGTCCCACTGACTGTCATCTAAATCTAGGTTGAGCGCCTTCCTGAATATTGACCTGAGGAACTCATCATATTGATTTAGAAGTGGGTTGCCAAAAGTGGGTGCACACCTTAAGAAGTATGTTAGCCTGGGCAAGGTAAGGCACTTTGTGAGAAGGTAGAGGGCATCGTGGGAGTCCAAGTCCCCTATTCTCTCTTCCATCCTCTTTAGGTCTCTAAACTTTTCGTCAAGGACTGCAACAATGGCATTGTGGCCCAGAGGTGCTCCAAGTAGTGTGCTGTCGGAGGGTTTAACGACTGAGGCTTCTGGTAAAACTGATTTCACTGCTCTAATAATTACTTCACTGGATGCAATAATTTCGCACTTGGAGGGGTTAAGAACGAGACCCATGGACTCCCCCCGTGTCTTCACCAGCTGCAGGTCTTCCAGCAGGGAATCTTGTGTGCCTGCCAGAGTGCCATCATCCAGGAACCAGATGTTGAGCTCACTGGACAGTATGGTTGTAATTTCTCGAACCGCTATGCAAAAGAGGAAGGGTGCAAGTGGGTCTCCCTGTTGAATTCCCTCTGCTGAGGTGACTTCATGTTTGCCAAACAGGAGGGTTGAGTTTTTGCTGTAGCCTGCTGACACAAACGGGAGAATGCTTGGGCAATGTTCCGTGACTACAGTGAGGATTGCTTCCCTTTTGACCGAGTTGAAAGTGTTTTTAAAATCTAATTTTACTACTGCCTGGTCTTCAGTAAGAGAGCTAATGTAGGCTCGTGCAGCATGGGCCGCTGCTTCACAGCCTTGGGGGGATCCAAACCCCAGCTGGTTGGGTTGCAGCATGGTGGCTGCTTCCATTCGGATACTTCTGACAGCAGCCCTTGCAACTAGGCGGTGAAGGGTATTACCAACGGCAATGGGTCTGATCCCTCCCCCCTTCTTTTTCAGGGCACATAGGGATGCACCAAAGAAGAATGGTTTGATTTCATTAGGGATTAACCTGGCGAGGCAGTTGTTGACTATTATATATACATATATATATATATATATATATATATATATATATATATATATATATATATATATATATATATATATATATATATATATATATATATATATATTAAATATGACCGAAAAAGTAAGATTAATAATTCTAACACGAATTTTCTCTATCTTTCTTACATTTCTTTTCACTGTTGATGGTAATTCAAAGATCAATTCTCCAAAATTCATTTTTATTTCTAGTCTGTCGCGACACTTGAGCGCGTTTCGTAAAACTTATTATATTTACAAAGACTTTAGTTTACAAACACACAACTGAAACTGAAGAGAGCTTTCACATCTTCGAGGTTTATATCTACATTTGGGTGAGGTGGATGAGGTGAAAAACGAACTTTCAACTATGGGTATTCAATGGGTATTAAATTCCAACACAAGACAGAACACGAAACAATGGGTATTGAAAGGGTATTCAATTCAAACACAAGACAGAACACGAAACAATGGGTATAGAATGGAAGTAATTGTAGAAAGCCTATTGGTCCATATTTCTTGATGCTTCTATATTGGAGCGGAGTCTTGAAGTGGGTAGAATATAGTTGTGCATTAATTGTTGATTGTTGATTGCTGGTGTTGACTTCTTGATGTGTAGTGCCTCGCAGACGTCAAGCCGCTGCTATCGCTGTATCTATCGATGATTTCTGTGTTGTTTGCTAAGATTTCTCTGGTGATGGTTTGTTTGTGGGAAGAGATTATATGTTCCTTAATGGAGCCCTGTTGCTTATGCATCGTTAAACGCCTGGAAAGAGATGTTGTTGTCTTGCCTATATACTGAGTTCTTTGAATCTTACAGTCCCCAAGTTGGCATTTGAAGGCATAGACGACATTGGTCTCTTTCAAAGCGTTCTGCTTTGTGTCTGGAGAGTTTCTCATGAGTAGGTTGGCAGTTTTCTTGGTTTTATAGTAAATCGTCAATTGTATCTTCTGATTTTTGTCTGTCGGGATAACGTTTTTATTAACAATAT